TAATAGAGGTCCGACTGTTGATCAGAATGTTTAGCGGGGAATGGCGGAAGATTACATTTACCACTGTTCATTGTTTAAGTAAATGATGAAGTTTTATAAAATAACTTGGATACTACACGTGTTCTGATTGGCTAAGTTTGTCTTTCGTTAAAACGTGAACTGTAATTGGCTGGTTGAAAAAAAAAATCGAAATGTTTAAGGTAAGGAGAAAACTAGATTTGATCATAAAAATTATACTCGAATTCTAAAGTTTTTAAAGATATTTTAGCAAAAAGAGTTATTTTATAAAAGCTCGGGCTGGTTGGGAAAATTCTCGACGGTTTTGCATAACCGTCTCGAATTCTCCCAACCAACCCTCGTGTTTACATTAGGCTATGTAAACACGGAAAAAGTTATCTATTACTAGTACTTAAATATGCAAAGGTATCGCCTGGTGGTAAAATGTAAGACGGGAAAGAAATAGCTCCACCGACAACGAAAATGGCAATGTAGCATGTCATTTGATTTATGTTGCCATGTTAATTTTAGGAATGAAAAGTCATTCCCTGGCAGCTATCAAAGTTCTGAAGAACTACAATGTGAACATAGTAAAGTCACATCTCATTCCAATGTTGAATGAAATAAGTAGACGAACACAAATCCCAGTGGAAGACTTGAAGAAAGAGATTAAAAAACCGGCTGGTAAGTTCTTCTTCCCTTGCATGGATGACTTTAAGGTACTTGTTCTGGCTAAAATGAGTGTCATTTTAAAATTATTTTCAAAAAATTAAAGGCGTTTTGCAATATCATTACTTTAAAGGCGTTTTCTTCAAAATAATTGTGTAATGGATCTAATGCCTATAACATTTTCTTTCGAAATGTTGCTTCAGGGGTGTCAAATTAACTCTTTCCTGTCCGCTTTAAGGATTATCAGCACTTCAGGATTAATGTTTCTAAAAATTGTAAGTTTCCGAGATCGCAAATGAAGATCACCAAATGTACTCCATGACAACGGCTAGTAACAAAACTCTATCTTAGGTTTGAAAATTTTTTACATCGGGCGCGATATCTGGGCAAAAAGGACTCCTGAAAAATAGGAATGCCTAAATTTTGACTTTTTGGTGCACCAGATAAGGGTGGGAATCACGTCTCTTCGTCTTCAGTTGTCGAAATCGAATTAAAATTCCAGGTTTTTTGAAATCGGCCACTCCACGTCTTTAGAATTTTTGCCGTTTTGTTTGGTAGAAGTCTCCACAGATCTAGCCACAGGACCCTTTTTGACCCAGCACAGAAAACATAGAGGCTAAAAATGCTAAAATACAACTCAAGTTATTCAAGAACGCGTGTTTACTGTTGTCGCTGTAGGGTGTTTAAAGCTAGTTTAAACTCAGAGAAGTCGCGCACATGTTCAGAAATGGCGACCATTTTGTTCCTCGTGTTGTATTTTAAAACAGTTGACGACTTTGTATTGATTTGAGGACGAACACTAGTCGACAACGCCGAAAATTTATCGGAATCGAATCGTTCCTGGCGACCCGCGAATATCCGGATAAACAAATGATGTAATCCATAGCAACAGTCCACTGAGCATGGGGATTGATGGCGATTGTGGGAAATTCGCGAAAAGGTTCTCGTGTCAATAAGGCATGAGGTCCATGTTTTTATCCCGAGAAAGTTCAAAAACCACCCCCCTCCCCTCCCGATAAAAAAATGAACGGTCCCTTACAGTCAGGCTTTATTTCCTTGTTCTTTAGATGCAAAAGACTATAAGGCATTGCTGAAAGAAATGAAACAAAGCAAGATTCCACAAGGTAATACTCCTTTTTGAGTTCACAGCGAATATCCGCTGATTTGTTTGACAACAGACTCTCTTGCGCAAAACAGCCTTACCAGAGACAAAAGAAAGCACGAGAAAATGTCGCTATTACAATATCCTTGGACATTTAYATTTTCTCCAAATTGAGACTAACCCTGTTTTCCCTTAGATCTGAGGTTGAAGACTTTTACAGAAAAAAAAAACTTTTTAGGGCTATTACTTTAACAACATGTTTTCATGCCTTTCAAAAAGTTCTGTTCTCAGTAAAGTGTTTGCAAAATAGAATCTGTAGTCATATGAAACAGCGGTTATCGGCTTTGAACTTGAAAATGGAGTATACAGTCAAGCGCSCTAGAGCTAAAATTATGTCCTGTATTTGTTCTTCAAGATCGAGAAGTTGCTTAAATTATCAAACGTAATCATCATCATCATTCCTATTACGCCTAGGTGGCATGTAGGGCCGCTACTAAGAATATCAAACGTAAGACAGCCAATAATATATGAAGTTTCACTTAAATTATTATCATGGCCAGAAAATCCGGACATTTGAGCCCACAATCGCAGCGGTACTTCGCATAAATGCATAAAAACATGTTTGTAAATTTTACAAAGAAATGTATGGATCAAAAAAAATATTTGAGAATAACATTTCATCTGTTTTAACTGGAAAGATTCCATAGATGAATTCGAAGTATTCTTGATTCCACTATAGGAAACCCAAATAAATCCAATATTGTTAACAGCGTCCTTTTTGACAATTTATTTTCCTATCGTCGTCTCCCTTTGGCCTTGTATCTCATGGTGAAAATTCGCGAAGAAGCGAAATTTCACCGTAGCTGATCGTATTCCTTTACATGTCACTGATATTCCATAGATCATTTCTCAAAGTCCACATATTGAGGTAGGAACACAGCGATTTTCAGCTATTTTGAAGGCGATCAACAACGTCCTTTTTGGTACTAGAAATCGTACAATTTGAAAACACTAACTTGACGCTGAAATGGCTGGCGAAGAYRYGTGTTTCACGCGAATACTTGGCCTGATCTTCCATTTTATTATCCATGTTTGGTACCAAAATAAACCTTAGAAACATTGCTTTCAGACTGGGACTGCTTTGATTTTGGAGGTTTTTACTGGCGCCTTGCGCACACTGGTAAATAGCGCAGATAGCGGGAAATACGAACGATAGATAGGCCAATCAAGTCTAGTGTAAACAATGTCAGACCTTTTAAATTCCTTAGAAATGTACAAGTATAAACAAAAGATCACAATATCAACTGATGATCATTGTTTAAAATACCTGAGGGAAACGTGTGTTCCAGCAAATAATATTATTTATACACTATGAACATTCCAAACGAGCACCTCACAAGCCACTAATGAACTCAAGGATCAGGGCGTGCTRTCYCAATACTCGYTTGTCGRTGTTTTGAACGTTTCGATTTTAGCCCAGTATTGTACGTTATATTAAGATAAAGGATCGTTGCCGCAACGATCTTGTGCGGCACAAGAGTAGAAAATTTGATCTTCAAAAGTTCAACCCTCAAGGGAACTTGTAGAAAGCTCTATTTTGGTGGGAAAACCCGCTGACTCGTCCCGGGCTCAAATGTCCGGAATTTGTGGCCATGTGAGTTGTTCAGGTTGAGATTGTGATTATTGTCAGCGACAGTTTCTTTGAATAAGTTTTCCAGAGTTGCTAGGCCTGACTCTGTTAGTGCTTGTGTGTAAGGAATTCCAGTGCAGGATAAATTTTACGTCAGGCGCGTTTTTGTAGTCTTTCAAGGTCTTCACATAGGTATTTTGGAAGAGCATTGTGAAAAACCTGGCAATATTCAGTCGCTATTAGGCTAATGCAAGTAATGTAAAATAGCAGTAGGTCTTTCAAATTTAGATCGT